AGAATATTATTTTTCTCTTTTTCGCTTTTATTCTCCGTATATTATGAAATTGCATTATTTTGTCATATCCGCATATATATATATATATATATTTTTACATTATTTTCTCAAAAATGACAATAGAAGACAATAGATGACTTAGAAGACAATATTGTATTTATTGAAGCGGCTCGCTTATCTTAGATGGGTCTAATTAGAAATTCCATGTTCAATGTCTATTAATGATCTATTGATCGTACGCTAATAGATGCAGCTATGATTGCACAGGGAATATTCAAATTACATTACAATTTGAACAAAAACTTAATATTTGCATTTCAACAAATATCAACATTAACATAATAAACACTTGTTTATTGTTGTTTTCGACTTTCTTCGCTTTATTACTAACTTTCAAATACTATATATTTTTCACACTTTATTTTACAAGTTTCTGCTACTGCAAAGACGGCATTGACAGAGATGACTTAAAAGATCGCTCGACGTAAGTTTTTTGATTCACATAAGCCACGATATAAATTTTTCAAAAGACTTTTTCTAAGAAATTGACGTCATCCACGCCAAGTGTGAACTCCTTAATAAACCGCCTTTGATCACGATAATAAATAGTTGCAAGTTATCACGTGTAAGGTCGTGGGTCATGCGTGATGGAAAGAAGTGAGGAACTGAGAGAGAGAAAGAGAGAGAGAGAGTAGAGATGCGCAATACATACATACATTCATGAAATCGGACAAATGCGTATGCAATGTGGCAACAGGCGGGCACACATCGATTTCCGATATGCACCGTATACCTATGCGCTACTCTTCCTCTCTATAGAGCTCACTACGCCGCGATCTTTCGTCCTTGCCTTCCTTTCTGGATACGTTAATCATGCGACCAACATGGTGAAGGGCGTATACGAATTTCCGGCATTTTTCTCTGCTTCATCGTGAGCGTACGTACGAGTATTGATCAATATTGACTACGCGCTATCGTCAAGAATTCGGTACATCAGCGAATACGCATTCATACATGTGCATGACGGTCTATGATGGAGATGAAACAGCATGGATTAAAGCCAAAGTTATTTTTTTATTATTTACCGAGGTTTAGTACACTAGCCTATGTCTCGGTTTCCATATAATGATTCATTCCATGAGAAAAATATTAAGAAAGAATTGCTCTTTAATTACTACAGTTATTTTTAAAAGTAATTTTCTAGGTATTTAAAATATATTTTTGTAATTAATATTTTTTTTTACTCGTCAAAATATTTATTGTATAAGCAAGTAATATATTTAAATATATATAATACTTTAATTGAAAAAAATGTGATTACTTAAGAGAATTAATAAAATGATATTTTCGTAAAGAAAAATCTAATTTTTATTTTAATTAAAATATATACTAAATATGCTATATGAATGACGCTTAGAAATAAATTAAAAAGTAATATATTCTTAATATTTTGATATTTTGTGATGAATATATTATACATTATTTTCATCAAAATAATTCCTCTTGACATACCGTTCGATCGGAAAAGCGGGTTATCGTAGGCATAGTAGACTATATTATCGCGGTATCGAAAGCATTGGTGGTCTTATCATGGAATGTTAATGAAATTGGTTTCCTGTACTTTTACATTATTTGTGCATTAATTAACCTTAAAAGCTCGGTCATGTCCGTCGTAGCAAGCTTTTTTAATGGACGCGCTTTCGAGTCGCGAAAATGGCAACGAACGGTAAAAAGGCAAACAAGAAAAATGAAGGAGAAGAAGACACCAATGACGTTCAGACCACGCAAACGACAACAGGCTTGGAAGTCTTCTACGGAATTTCATTCGCGACGAAATAAGGTTCCGTTCGGGAGAGAAAATAGACGAAAAAGAAATGCCGCGGAACTTATCGACATGCAACATTGAGATGCCGTAGTCAAAAATAACATTCTTTTAGATTTCGCGAATTTGTTTAATGTGCACTCGAGCAGAGTAGTTGAAAGAAGCTTTTAGCGATTGCTTAAGAACAAATTTAAATAATATTCTCTTATTTTTTAATAATAATGACTTTAAAAAAGAAGCATAATCAATTACACATAATTTTATGTTTTACGTGCAACAGTTATCAGTTTACTTCAATATATTTTTGAGTATTATATTTTATCTAAAAATAAAATAATAACACTCGGTTTTACCACGTACGTACTCACAATTTAATGAGACCGTATAACAAGTGGTTTATCTCTAAAAGCGTTATTAAAAGATTTTGCGGGAAAAATGACTGAGTTTCTGCCTGCAATAAGCAACGGCTGTTAGTTATCGCAATGCTTAAAGCTGCTGTTACTTTTCATGATACTCATACTTTTATCGTAATGTTTCATGGAAAGCACGTACTAGTATACCCTGAGGGAGACAGAATGTAGTTACATAAGTAGCTGATTTGCTGTTAATAATTCGCAACACTTTGGTGCAAAGCACTAATTCCTTTAGTGCTTAATTATTAGGAATTAAGCACTAATTCCTTTTATAAGACGCCACGTGTCTACAAAGCCATGTGGGATACGTAATTCTAAAGAAACTTATGGTGCAATTTCTGCAGGTTAAACGTCGTATCGTCAGATCGCTAGGGATTACGGGGACAAGTTTATAGAATTTAATTGTAGCAGCGTATTAGGGTGGAAAATACGGCAAATTCCAAAATATAGACAAAGAAATGCAATCTTTTGTTCACTGAAATAGAAATTGAAGCGAAACGTATCCGAATTTGTACTGGCGAGTGGCATTCTTTTCATGTACGTTTTACCAAGGTTTTTGTTCTACTTCTGTCGCAATTGTAATCACAACGAATTTACCATTGCATTCTCTGCGTTTTGCAGGTCCAAAAAATTTTACTTACAGGTTAGTGAATGCAAAGAGCTTTTTGATAAATTGATAAAGAAAAGTGTTTAGTTAACTAGACAAAATACTTTCAATTTTATTGCAATTTTTAATTTTGGGGTAACGTTAGAACATTTTTTCATATAACTACATAAATAAGTTTAATTATATTTAGTTACATTTCAATTTTTATCAAATTTTGTTACAAGTCATTTTTTGAATCTTGTCATTTCTGCATCTTTTATTTTGTATGAGTTTTGTATTCGGACTATTGCTTCATTCATTTGAGTTCCACTTGTTAGACGAAGACGAAGATACGCATCATTCATTGATCAGAGAGAGAAAGCAGGTGTGTTCGACAGCTTGTAGATAACGACAATCTCTTCCGACGACAATCGTAATGGCCAGCGTGAAATACAG